CTCACTCTTTCGTTGAGGGAGAATATGGCGAAGGTTTGCTACCTCATTTTCATTTTCACTTGTTTTGTTTTGGACTATCCTCACAATATAATCTCCCTGTTGCCATAAGTGAATCCTTAACGATATACTTCTGCATTTGTTTCTTACTTCTTTGCAAATATTGACGTATGCAATTCAATTCATTAATGTCTTAACAAAAAAAAAATAGTTGGCCCCGGTCAAACCCAAGAATCGGACCAGGACTGCTCAGTTCAGTCCGGTTCCCGGTTCCTGTTGTAGAAATGTGTTGGAGAAGATAAGAAAAATAAGGACAAAATATCTTAGGCATGCAATCATCGTCCTTAAGGATGACTCTATTTCTCGGAGTACGAAACTCAGTGCATAAGACTCTAGCGGCTATCCTCTCAAGATATTACAGATGTTCCTCTATACTGCACACAGAATAAATAGATGGAACAAAAACAACAACGTTATATGTAAAACCTAACTAATAAATGGAAAGTAAAGAGATAATTTCTTATTTTTAGCATGTTTTTATTGTGACTTGAATATTCTCTTTATAGGCAAATAAAATAGAGAGTTAATAAAAATAAATAAATCAAATCAACGTTAAAGAGCCATTACAAATTGATTGCGGTCAAATTTTCATTAAAGCCATTACAAAACAATTACTTTGAATAGTTCAAAATCGTTGAAATATCCAACAATTCCCCATATATTTCAAAAAGTTTTGAAAAGAAAGGAAATATAAATTTTGAGTTAAACTCAATTGAATGTAATGCATCAGAACTAGTGCTTGCTAGGTTATAAACCAGACCTAGAAACATGAAATATATAAGTGAAGTTCAAAACTTCTATGAACCACGAATTTTTTTTGTGAAATTATATTTTCACTAATCACATATATTCAAAGTGATTTTTTGCTAATAGGGCATGCGCTTACCTGGTTTGTTCTTAAGTGCTTTATAGATTTTTACCAAAAATTCTCATTGGAGTGAGCACTCCACACTTATATAGATGTTTCTATCAAGTGTATTATGCAATGTAATTCACCATCAATAATGGCTATGGAATTCATTAAGAGCTTAGCTCATTGCAGTCTTGCATTATTCTCATCTTAGAAGAGACAACAAGTTTTACAAGTGCATCACCAGATCAACAAGTGACTTGTTATTACCCATATGAACCTAACCCATGGGATCGCTAATCACATAGGTTAGGTTACCATCACTGTTGATTTTCCTCAACTAGCTTAAGTCCCATTCCCCTTGATGTATCATAAATTAATTTTCTCCCTTTAGTCAGAGGATCGGCCAAATTCACTTCTGACTTGACATAATCGATGGACATAATTCCATCTTTAAGCTATTGCTTTACCACATCATGTGTCAATAGGATGTGTCTATATTTACCATGAAAAGTTTTATTCTTTACAATGACCATTGCCGCTTGGCAATCACAATGCATAAACATAGAAGGTCTCGGTTTCATTCCCAAATGAATACTATTAAAATCTTAACCACTTGGCCTCATTGCCAACCAATACTAGAGCTACAAACTTTGACTCCATGGTGGATTTAGCAAATATGGTTCGCTTAGCTGATTTCCAAGTTATAGTGCCTCCACCAAGGGTGAACACATATTCACTATTGGATTTTGTCTTATATGAATTTGAAATCTATTTAGCATTGTCGTATCCTTCAATACAACGGGAAATCCACTATGTAAAATGACATAGTTTATGGTTCCTCTAAGATATTTCATTATTCTGCTTAAGGCAGTCCAATGATCACAATTGTTTTATGTATATCTGCTCAGTCTACACACAACATAAGTTATATCAGGTTGAGTGTAGTTCATTAAATGCATCAGACTCCTAATAATCTAAGTATACTTAGATTGAGCTACACTATCTCCTTTATTTTTCACTAATTGGGTAAGCATCATAAAGAGTACTTACATCTATGACATCAAATGTCTATATTTTTTAAGTAGTCTCTCCACATGATGCTCTTGAGTAAGCATTAGACCACTATCACTTCTTATGATTTGAACACCCAAAATAACATTAGCTTCTCATAAGTCCTTCATATTGAATTCAGAAGTCAAGAAACATTTTGTTTCATTCACAATATCAATGCATGTACAAAAACTAAGCATGTCGTCGACAATAAGCTAATATCTAACCAAAAAAATAAACATATAAGCTAATAATTATAGATTCACCATCAACGGTTGTTGTGTACACGCATTTATCTAGTCCAATAGAGGAAAATCCATTCTAAACTGAACCAGATCAAATTTCTTATTCCATTACTTTGGTGCTCAAAAAATTAGTTTAGGGTAAATTTGTTGTAAGTGTATCAATTTTGGGTTTTTGGTGGTCAAAAAATTAGTTTGGATTAAATTTGTCGCATGTGTATCAGTTTTGGATTTTTTGTGGTATTAACCCTTAAAAAAGAGCACAAACTTTTAGTCGAAGACTAAAACTAGCACCTGTTAAGCTACCCTTTATTTGTGCCGTTACAAAGCCGACATACATTATATGTCTACTATACACTCAAAGGATGTTACTAATGTGGTGGCTAACAATATCACCTAGAGGAGGTTGAATATGTTATTCTTAAGGAAATTGACAAACTTATGCAGAATTGTAAAAGCCAAGTTTGATATAAACAAAATAACTTGATGTAAACAACAGCAAGTTAATATAAGTAGGAACATGTGATTATATCAAGTGGAGTGCACTTCTATCAGATAGCTACAGAAATAAGTAGAGCGATAAAAAATGATATACTCGATGCTTTATAGTGGTTCGACTTGATGTGAGCTTACGTCCACTCTTCCAGACTAGTAGCCTATTGGCTGGATTTTACAAGTAATCCTTTAAGTAGTTACAGTAGTATGTGCTGCTTATACTCAAGCACTTATTCCCAAAATTGGTGCTACTTATACCCAATTGGATAGATCTCAGTGTCACACACCTAAATACAAAATATAACACTAATACACAACTAGATTACACTTTCAATACGCTCTGAAAACAATATGAGGATGTAAAGCGTTCTTTGTATTGCTTGTCTCTCTTGATCTATTGCTTCTTCAGCGTCTATTGATCTCCTTTTATATTCCTCAGTATCCAATCTTTCTGTTGGACAATCATCACGAGGATCAATCTCCAAACTATCCATTGGACAATTGTTAAGCATATCAATTTAGCTATTGAAGTCAATCAATTTGAGATTTCGGAGATTTGATCGTCCATACAATTAAATCTCCCAATTTCCATAACAGAGTAGCTCGAACTATGGAATAAATCTGTCTCGTGAATGATTCCCGATTATATTATACTGCTCTTCATTTGGCAACTCCGAGTACGATGATGATATAGATCCTTTGGTCCTTGTTCACCTTCGTAACTCACAGTCTCTATGAACTTCCCATTCCTTCCTTTAGACTTGTTCACCTCCATAAAGATTTATCCAGTTATCATCAATCTTCATTTTATACATCGGATGGCTTTGATATCTACAAAGTATATCAACTTCACTCTAGCTTCTGTATTCTGGTCCTTCCAAGTATATTGACAATCTTGATTCTACCTCACTATTCACCTATCTATGGTACCTTCAAGCTCTACCGAACTCCCCGTTGTAAGCTTGTTTACCTTATATTCAGGTATCTCCAACTTGTAGACAACTCTATGCCCAATGCCTTGTTCACTTTTGATAGAGAACTTATAACCTTTTGACGTCCCATTAAGGCATCATCAGCATAACAGATTGTGCTTCTTTTACCTGGTTTACTCAATCATTAAACACTTTAGTAGCTTTTCATTATTTTGCCATTTTTAAAACATCACAAAGGATTTTTCCAACAATCGACATGTACAATGCAACTTGAGATGACATCATTTTATCAAACTACTTACGTAATTGAGCTTGTTCTTAAAAAAAAAAAAAAGTAATCGAGCTTGAGTTTTTCTTCTTAGTCTTGAACGATGAAAATCGAGGGAAGATTTTGGGGGAAAAAATTAGGGTTCATTTCGCTTCCAATCTTCATCGCTCTTTCAAGGATCGAAGATAGTCGATAAAATGGGAGAAAAGGGCTGATATAGCGTATTCATGAGTTTAATCTAAAAAAAAGTTATTTGATAATGATTGATCAAATAGCAAACTTAAGAAAAGAAGGAAAGCAAGGTCTTGACTTTTTGTAAGGAATTGTTGGACAAGAGAAACTTTGTCATCTTTCATTTATCCATATATGGCGAAATCCCTGCTTGAAAATGGCCAAAAGACATTTCATCTCTTATAGTAGTTTTAATATTTTTTTTTCAAAAGTTGTTTTATATCTTTGTTACATAGCAAGCAAGGTTGGCCACATTATGACTTATTTCAGCCAACAAAAATAAGAAAATACCATAAATGATGCCATTTAAAGTTATCATTAGATCGAGATTAACTATATTAATTATGAAAAAAGTTCACACTTATCTTCGTCGCGAAGGAAAAGGAAAAATGCACGGCACCCTTCAAGAAAATTAGAACACGAAAAAGAAGAAAAAAATCTAGAGGAGCCTCCAACACGCATTTTCTTTATAAAAAAGAAAAAAAGAAGAGAAAAATGAGGGAAATGACACGAATTTCAATCGGATCCCTCTTTCCTCTCTCTCTTTACCATAATAAATATATGAATCAGGAAGATCGGGCGGACCAATCACGAAGTCACACGTGGCGGATTGCCGTGTTCCGATGTGTTTTGAGAATACGGTTAGAATTGTCTTCGTCTCCGGGGATGCGTCATTCGGACCTCATAAGCAAAAAAAAAACATTTATTACATCTTCCTCTGCGTTTCAGAAAAATAAGAAAAACAAAAAACAAAATAGAGAAAGAAAAAACACAAGTTTTCGTAACACGGCAAGCCTTCTAGAAGAGAGGAAAGGGTTCGACGAGATAGAGAGGGAGGAGAGATCCTTCGTCGTAATCGCGCCTCGACGCTCTCCTCCGTCCTTCCTTCCCTTTCCCTTTCCTCCGATTCCTTCAGCCCCTCGCGTCCGGTTGAGTTCTCAGATCGATCGATCCATCGGTTCGGTTCGGTTCGTCAATCGGCTGATCGGCGCCGGCGGGGGAGGGGGCCCGCTTCTGTGTTCGCCATGTTCAAGTTCTGGTACGGCCAATCCTGCCCCCGTTTCGTTGGTGCCCGTCGATGATTTTCAGCTCTCGTTTTTTTTTTTTTTTTGTGTTTTGATTGGTTGGTTTTGTGCTTAATCGAATTGTATCTTGCGCTCTGTGCGCGGGGGTGGCGGTTGAATTCGTGTCGGAGCGAGGGCAGGGGAAGCTTTTTTTCGTGTCTGGTCGGGCTGCTTGCTTTAATGGTTCGGCATGGTTTGCGATTCTGTGGTTTAAGAGCTAGTGCGTTGGGGGTAAAAGGAGCGGTGAACTTGAAGAGCAAAGAGGAGGTGTCGGTGTACTTGCTCAGGGTTTTGATGAATTTGGATTGCGGTGTCAAAGAGATAAATTGGAAGGCACTCGTAGCGGCAAGCGCACTTTGTGTTGAGAGCATTTTAATTGAATGCGGCAGTTTATAATCATAGACGTAGACCTGTGAATTTTTGCATCGATAGTTCCGAAGAATTGGTTGTGTAGGGAATTCCCTTTTGGTATAAATTTCGCTGGAACTCGACGATGTTGCTGTCTACCTGCTTATTGAGCGAGTGGAAAATTATAACTTTATGCTCGACTTTGTGAAGCTTTGATATGCTGCAACTAATGAAGTCTGCCATTGTTACGTGGCCGGTGGTGGTTGTGGGATTAGAGTTTTATTTTGCTTTTTTTTGCCTTTCTTTCAGGGGATCTCAAGAGCAACAAGCTCAGCCACGCCCACAGGATAGTGCTTCGCAGTCATGGTATCCGCCTTCTGTAGTTAGCTCACCCGGTTCTTCCCGTCCCTCAACGCCAAGCAGCACCTCTTCTGGCAGTTTCAATTACTTTTCACAGTCTACGCCCCATGTTTCTCCCACTGAGGCTTCAGGGATCATTAATCATTTGAAAGACAAGAGGTATTTCTTGTTTCAAGCATCTTTGGAATATGTTTGTCTTCCCTTTTTCTTTTGAATACTTGTGGAATCGCATCCTTGATTTTTGATAGATGAAACATTGAAGTTGGGATCGAATCTTAGTGGCACTTTAGGAAGCTAACTTGCCCTTGGTACTCGTATCTTGTTTTGGTTATTACATCTTATGAAAAGACATTAGTTCCAAATCTTATGAGATGACATTAGACATCAGTGGTCATACCGACACGGAGTAAATCTAGAAACACCACCTAGTCATGTCTGCTGAATTATCCTAATTAGCATAGGCCTTATTTTTTCAAGAAGCATCTGACAGTCCTCAGTGCAATAGGAGCAATCAAGAATTTCCGAGTGGAATGTTTGCTGAGAGCACCTTGTTAAAATTGTGCTTCTGCATTTTTGTGGTCAGGAAAATAATCCATCTAAGCCAGATTTAACAGTTGCTGGCAGAGCTGGACTTGACTTGAACATGACACTAGACAGCCACAAAATAATGTTGAGAGAAAACTGGCATAGAGTATACACTTTTGGTATAGTGAAAACTTGCATATGGATATAGATGCTTGGTCGATATAATGGATGATTTATCTTGTTTTTGAGCTCCCTTTTGGTTTTGAGAGCTGTTTTGTCTGTGGCATTATTTTTTCAGGCTCTTTTTCTATATGGATGTGCACCTCCTTGGTGCCCTATAGTTGAAGTTTTTCTCTATTATGATAAAATATTGAAAGAAAGCACAATATTTGGTGCAACATGACATTTATTAAAATATTGACACGAAATTAAACATCTGCCAGTCTAATTAGATAAAAGTTGGAACATTTTAGTGCTAGCACGAATTGACAAGTGCCAGAAGATTAAACTAACTTGTGGTTATGTGCTAGAAGATGATTCGGCAATGTAAATCCTTTTCTACCTTATCCTCTTCAATTTCTTTTTCGCAATCTGCAATATCTCAGTTGTTTATCTTGGATTGAGCGAAGGACTTTTCTTGTGCTACTATTTTCTGTTCTCTTTATTTCTGCTAGTGTGATCATACTTCACAGTCATTCCTGTTTCTATTTATGTTCCTTTCTTCTGTAAATCTGTTCAGTGTTGACGAGCTGCGGAAGCTTTTGTCTGACAAGGACGCATACCACCAGTTCTTGCTTTCACTTGATCAAGTGAAGATCCAAAATAATGTGAGTGATGTGGTTCGATTCATGTAAATTGTGGTTTTTGCTACTCAATCTGTCACTCTCAAACGCTAATTTGATTTATTTTCTTGGTTATTCTTTTATCATTTAGTTAGCATTGTTTCTGGTGCTTTTACCCTTCAAAACCAGAGACGAAGTAATGCCATTCTGTTTATGGCATTTAAATACATAACCGTCATGGTATTTTTATTTGTTCACGGTTCAACTGCAAGAGATCTTAGTAAAAGTCTTTCATATGCATGCTAAAGCACCCATCCTGTGCCTGTAGTTACATTTTATCTAAGCAGAGCACTTTGAAGTTTCAATTGCATGCCCAGATACATTGAATACATATATTGGAGTTGGCAAGATGGTTGCTCTATTCTCAGCATCATCACATGTTTGACTGTTAGTTTGAATGCCATAATTTGGTCTGGCTTGGTTGACCTATTAGAATCATTGGAGCGGAAAGTGCAGCATTCGCAACTATGACTTTAGTTTTTCATCTCTCTTAAATTAATGTTTTTGCTCTCTAACTGTTTGACTGATGGTTGGCAGATACGAGATGAACTTCGGAAAGAAACCCTGCAGCTTGCCAGTGAGTTGTCTTTTCCTGACCAGAGCTGAAGTGTTATCATGGATTATATGTTTTATTGCAGAGGGGTCTCAAATTATTTCTGTTAATAACTTTAGGGATGAACTTGGAGAAGGAACCTCAAATGATGGAGCTGAGAAACCAGGTATAACATGCTTCTATATGGGTCATTTTGGGGCAAGCAGCCCATGATGGCATCGGTTAAGCTCTTTCATTTTCTTTTTGCAGTGTAGGATCATACGGACGACAGAGTTGGCTGCTGCACAGGAGAAGCTCAGTGAACTAGAGAGACAGAAAGAAGAAATTATGAAGCTCTTCTCTTCTTCCTCTCTTATCCAGAAGCTTCAAGGTAATACAATCAGAAAATGATAATTAATATTTTTAGGGTCCTTAACTGAAGCTGGATCTTCACTCTACAGCATCCTGCTTCTGTCAGGAAAATGAGCTTGGCCCCTTTATTATTATGATAATTGGTTTGATATTTTGTAGAATCAATGCGCAAGACGGAGGAGGAATCCGAAGCTTTGCACCAAAAGCTTCTTGATAGGGAAGTAGACTTTGGGACATTTGTGCAGAAATATAAGAAGCTGCGTACAACTTATCACAAGCGCGCACTTATCCAACTTGCAGCGAAAACATCTGCAACTGGATGACCAATGCATGGCAAGCATCCTACATGAATGGGGTGATGAAGATTTCCTTGTATTACGGTGTGTTAAACTCATTTTTCATTTGATTTTGCTGTGCACAAGACCATATCCACCATGTATGTAAACTTTTTTTTTCCGAAAAATGTCATGCGATACTCACCTCACTTACAATTGGTACTTTGCCTACTGTATCTCCCATAATTGATGAAGGCCAAAGATTCTGCCTATAGTCAGGTATGCAGTTATGGATGTTCTCGATTTTTTTTTACTTTACAGGCAATAGTGCCAGGTGTAATATAAAATTGGTTTACGAAATTAGTTTACTATGTGACGTGGCAGAGTTTTATTGGATGTTTAACATGGCAATTGTTCGAATGCCCTATGATTTAGTAAACCAATGTAGTATACTGATTTTAGTATATAAAGAACTACTCTTTTTCTTTTTTGGGCTAACCTGCTGGTTGCAAGCAAAGTCAGTCATGAAAGGATGGTTTTGAACACCGGGGTATGGTCAATTCCATTGAGCGCCTTTACTTTAGTAGGCTGCTGTTGGGCCCAAGATCACTCTGATTGATTCTCTTCAAATGCCATAAAAGTTCATGTCTTTTCGGCTCAGCTTCAGTTTTCAAATGGCGAATTGCAACCAAGTGTGCAGTGCATGACAATTGCTATTGTTTTTCTTATTTTCGCCAAAATATTCTGGTCCCGTCTGCGTGACACCTTCATTGTGCAAATCGTCTCTACATTGCGGGCTTTTAAGCCTATTAGAATTGTCTTATTCATCTCTGAAAATGCGTAATTCGGACCTTATAAATTTTCATGTGCTTTTCTCAATGAATTTTGTCACCTAAACGTTATGCTGAATTGTGGACGTGGACTTGTGCTGAGAGATTTGATGCTCGTGATGGTCACATGTAGGAATTTAGCTACATCGTCATGTGCGTATTAGATTCATTGTGGCTGTGGATGGCAGGATCCCAAGTATTACCCCTTCTCTTTACAACGATTTGGAGAGTTCTTGTTCGAACAGTGTCCGGGATGTGGCTCGTTAGAAGTCCCAAACCTATTTTACGGAGGTTAACGTAAGAAATGTCCTTATAACTCATGGCTTAGACCTTACCGGGCCGGCCGGGTGGAACACGAGTGGTAACGGGGTTTCGCCATACCGAGGCTTGATCTCCGTGCCTAATTCTGGGCCTAAGCCCGCCCAGATGCGATTTTTGCTTTCCTTGCAGCCTCAACTCTGTTTTTATTAACATCACATCTAATTCTAATCTGCCCAGATTACTTGAGGCAGGCCGAAGACCAAATCAAGGGCTAGACTTTGGTTTTCAAGTACTTTTGATTTCTCTTCGTCCAAAGAGGCACAAAAATCGAAAAACAATAAAGCAGCAGGGCACCAATTTCATAGCCTGCGGCGGTACTAAAATAATCTCAACAAAAACTCATGTCTTCCGGGGTAGTTGCAAAAATCACTCTCAATTTCGCTCTTCATATCAAATAGCTTCGTTACATTTAAAAATTTACGTCTTTTCGTCATTTATGAAAACCTAAAACCTATATTTGCGACTATAAAATAACTTAAATCACAACTACATTTCCCTGACTTTTTACGACAATAAACACGGCATCATTCTTTTCTTACCAATATAATTATTTCCTAAAATCTCTAGCAAGAGCCAATAGAGCCAACCGTTTTAGTGGATCCTTGATATTACCAAAATTGCAATATCGCTACATTTTAATAGAATGACGGCGGAGATGAACAACCGCCGTCGTCACGCTATCTAGTCGAACATGACATCGGCGCTACATTTAGCGGAATGACTGCATCGAACCTAATTTCGGATGTTCAAGGACTAGGTTGAGTAAAAAAAATTCCGAAATCGAAATTGTACGAATAAGAAAAAGCTCGGGATCACCGATCTCATCACCCTAAACACGTTCCAAATTAAAAAAAGACAAAAAAAAAAAAGAAGGAACATGGTCCATACAAGGCAAGTTGGTGTCCGTAGTATTCAATGCATGGCGTTTGCTGTTGCTTTCTATGAAACTCAACGCAAATTTCGTATGCATTTCTTGCTAAGACGATGCTTGTCGGCGTGGTAAAATGTATCTATCATGATCACCAATAGCCTATCTTTTAATCGATTAATCTACGCATCGGGAGCTTCTCTCCCATCCCAATTTTTAAGCAGGAATCCTGTTGCTTGGAGCACTCAAATGACGTCGTACCAATCATCCGGACAATGATTCGATCAGTTCTCAACAAGAAAAGCAATCCCATTTTGGTCAGAATTTCAATTTTTCAGGGCAATCTTTTGGGGGTCAAGTCGTGATGAAAATGAAGCATTTTGTGTGCCAATCCTCCCTCTGAGCTGGCTCGGCTGAAAGTTTGATTGAGTTCACGGCAAGTGTTCCGGACAAGAAAGCCGAAATCGCGCAATGTCTGCAGGCTTCTGTATTATAGGCAGGGATGTGACAAAGCAGAGTCAAAGATGCGTGCTTTTGTCGTATGGCAAAACTTTTTCCTTTTCTCCTAAGTTTTTGTTGAGGAATAAGTGGATTGGAAATCTTAAAATTAGCCATGAAAGTGTAATTGAGTTATAAAAATTACAAAAAAATATAATTAAGTCCTAAAACTTGTTACAAAAGTGTAATTGAGTCCTAAAATTTTCAAAAAGTGCAAATAAGTTCTAAAACTTATCAAATTGGTCCAATCGAGTTATTCCATTAATTGCACGTTTCAAAAGTTTTAAGGCTTAATTGCATTTTCGTAATAAGTTTTAGGACTTGATTACACTTTTTGCAAATTTTAGGACTAAATTGCACTTTCGTGATAAATTTTAGGACTTCCAGTGTATTGATCCCTTTTATTGATGTTGCATCCTCAAGAGCAAGATGACGGGTTAGGGACTATTTATCAATTGAACTTGTATGTAGGTAATGTCCATAACTTATAATCTTGAATAAGAAATTGAGGGAAAATATACTCTTCCTTATATTAAAATAACCGATGCTACTTGACGTGGTTATTGAAAGCGAATACTGTTAAATGCAGAGGTAACACGAATTGGCACGGAGTTAAAGTAAGTATGATTGAGAGTAATATTAGGTTTTATAGTGACACAAATATGAAAGCACCATATGCGTAGCTTGAATTTGATTTATAAACATGATTGCCCGTGCTATTAAAGCTTTCGACTGAAATAGGAATTATAAGTGTTGTGGCTACTACTACAGCACAAAGTTCTTGCGATCCCATCTTATTCGATTCAATTTTGCTTGATTTAGTTTTGACTTGATTGGGCTTGGTGGTACATTCCAGGTTATAAAATTTTGGAATCGGTGAGTACATGGTAGGTTTCAGGGTTTGGAGTTACACCACCGTGTACATGGTGGTGTAACTCCAAACCCTGAAACCTACCATGTACACTAGGGGTGTGCAAAACATACCACCCAAATCGGGAACCTCCCGGATTGAATGGGACCAGTCAGTTTGGTCCGGTTCCCGAAAGTGTCGATCTAGTTCCTGATTCCTAAAAGTGAAACCAGTGTTCGGGCGGTCCAATTCTCGGTTCCAAAGGTAATCAAACCGACTACATATAATTTTTTATATTTCTTCAAAAAAAAATAGTAAAATGTGAACTAAACCCAAAGTAAAACACGTTTTTTTATTCGTCTTTTCAATTTGAGGATCATTGCATACATATCACTTAATTTAACACAAAAAGATGGCATCAAGTTCCATTGGACCGAACCGACAGCGAACGGGACCGGAAACCAATAACCCCTAGTGTACACATCTAGTACCTTGCACCCTGTACCCTATGCAAGATAACCGGTAAGAAGGTAACGGTTACATTGTATAATATATATTAATTATATATATGTACTTATTTATTTAAGAAATTCTTTTTTTTCTTTATCGAACTTTTATATTAAAATGGGCTAAATCTTTGGTTAATCAGCAAATTTCCAATTTCATTAGAAGAAACCAATATCTCTCTCTCAAAAAGAGACGGGTAGACTTTTATTGTTATATTAGGAGTATATACATTATCATCAGACATGATCATGTATTTTATCATATAATTTGTTTATATTTTGTGCTGAATGTTCAATGTGTTAAAAAACTAGAAGCAGAACAAGATTTTTATTCAATAAAAACAATTTGAAAACAGTGTGAAGTAGTACTCAATACCTTGGAACTTGTGGGACCCGATAGGTTCCAAACTGGTTCCAAAGTAACCAAAGTGGTTCCAAGTTAAGTCCGGTTTCAAAAGATTGGAACCAATATCTATGGGGTGGATTTCATGGTGGGATAAATATTTGGGTTATTATCACGAAAAATCTCAAACTGATTTACATGTGATAAATTTACTCCAAACTAATTTTTGAACCATCAAAAACTCTAAATTAGTACACCTGTGACAAATTTACCCTCCGTTAGTTTCCGTTAAATTTTACTATCAAATTGCTTAGTTAAATGATATATGACAGTTGATGAATGTACCAGTTTGGGGTTTTACCCTCTATTTATTTCAGGTGTACTAGTTTGTGATTTTTTTTTATTAATTCAATTTAATTGAAAGTAAATTTGTTACAAATGTATCAGTTTTGGATTTTTTGTGGTCAAAACATTAGTTTTGGGTAAATTTGTCACAGATGTACCAGTTTAAGATTTTTGGTAATCAAAAAATTAGTTTAGAATAAATTTATCATAATTGTATCGATTTAGGATTTTTCGTGATATTATCCATAAATATTTTACCCACCCTGGAACCTGCACATCTAGAATAATGTCATCATGATTTGACTCGGTGACATACAACAAAAAAGACCCATATTTTAACACGAGAGGAAATTGATTGGAAGTTTGGAAGCACTTGCCTTCAACCAAAGCTATAGGAAATCACGACCCAAAATATAAAAATATAAAGCTTTTAGTCAATATTCAAATTTGAAAGATTGGGGATCCGCGACCACGCAAGTTAATATAATCCCTAGAAACTACCCAAGCAACTTCCCAAAGTACAAAGTATCGAGACATCACTATATATTTTTTTTTTGGTTAAGCTAGAAAGATAATTTACTTTAGGCGGGCAAAGTTCATAGGTTTGATAAGTTTTGTATGGCCTCCCCACATGGTTGTATAATAAACTCATCGCCCTGAAATTCAAGAGGATGTGACCAAAAGAAGAAGAAAGCCGCATGAAATTCTAACCAACCACAGAACACATACAAAAGAAGCCTCTTTCTCTCTTTGTTTTCTCTTCTTTGCATTCTTGGCTATTGATAAGCAAAAACAGCATCCGAGTGGCCACTATCTTTACAAAACCGATCCATTCATCTTCA